TCAAAAAATAATTGAATATCTTAATTTCCGTCCATTTTTCAAGTTCTTTATCAGACAGGGCTTATTTTCACATTTATTTTCATGTTAATATTACTCATTCACAATTAAGCATGATAGAGCAAAATATAAGTGAAGTCTAAGATATCGCAAAAATTTCAAACTTTGACAAGACAAGCTTTCTATTTATTTTCAATGAAGTTATGTGAGAAAAAAGGTGATAAAATTATTAAGCGTTAATGTCACTCCAGTCAAATACGGTCTAAAAGCCGTCCAAAGAACCAAGARTTTCTTCATGTTGYGCTTGATCTACAATATAGTCACCGCTTACGCTTCTCAGGTCTTGACAAATGTATCGTACGGTGGCTGCATACACGACTGCTACTCTATCTTCAATTACTCGATATGCTTGACGTGAGTTACGATGTGATCTGGTCTTCTCGAAGAAGTGTCCTTTAATGACTTTCGCTCCAGATGGATATTCAGACTCATAGTCGTCTTTTAAAGGACTGTCTAAAACAAATGGTCCGTCAACAGTAAGCTTAAGGAGGTACTACTCTTCTCCTCGATCTCCAGTTGCTATTGCTACAATACCATCCATACCTGTAAGGTCAGCAATCTGTATATTTTGCTCTTCAAAGCGAGCACGTGTTACTCTCTCGTCGCCATAGCTCCTCTCAGGCTCCATTTTTTACAAAGACCATTCTGGCACATAGTCTTTGTTCTCACAACTGCTGTACTGTTGCCTTAAGCAGGAATTGCAGTAACACGAAATACTTCTAGTTTTGAGGTTTCCTGAATCTCTTTGGCTGATGATGCTATGTATTTTCCRGTTGCCTTCAACCTCTTTGAATAGACGATAAGGGCGATCTCTGTCGACAGAATCCACATAGAAATAAACTCTTCGCTTGAGTTTAACGTTGTCAGATTGGTAGCGAGAAGGAGCAGGGCTTTGAAATTCTTTCTGGGCAAAGTCATATAAGTCCTTCGCATCTTGAATGCATATCTGTCGCTTGATGACAGCCATATCGCATTTATGTTTCA